TCCTCTCTGAGTGTGTCCTGCAGTGAGCTCTGTGCTGGGAGCCCCAGGCTGCCTCCCTAGTATTATCTCAGCTCTTCTCCCTTCCCATCTCCCTAGTTTGCTTCCACTTGCCCACCTGCAGATGTTTATTTTTTAAATTTTTTATTGAATTTATTGGGGTGACATTAGTTAATAAAATGATATGAGTTTCAAGTGTACAGTTCTATAATATGTCAACTGTACTTTGTGTTCACCACCCAAAAGCAGGTCTCCTTCTGTCCCCATGTATCATCACCTCTTTACCATCTTATTACCCCTTTCCTTCTGGTAATCACTAAACTGTTGTCTGTGTTTGTGATTTTTTTTTTTTTTACTTAATCCCTTCAGATGTTTCAATGTGACATGTTGTGTATTGAGCAGGGAATTCTTTGTTGAATTATAGCTGTTCAATTTGTTGAAACCTCAAGGAGCGAGCCCATGGGGACCTCATATGCCACTATCCTTCTGGCATCCAGTGGTGACTTTTTTTTTTAACTTTCGGGTAAACCACTGCAGATTGACCTGTCATTTGTCATGATGTAGTAATTCAGGAAATTACTCAAGATGATTCTCCTCCTCCTCCTCCTTCTCCTTCTTCCTTTTTTAAGAACAGGCTGCTCCTAGAGAGGCATACCATATATTTCTAGATAGGAATAATTATTAATGAATCCTAATTTAATTTATAAATATTATGCTATCATAGGCACAGTCCCAGTGGATTAATTTTGGGATAACATGACAAAGATGTTCCAAAATTAATCTGGAAGTATGAGCAAGCAAAAATAGATAAGAATACTGAACAAGTTAATGACAGAACTTTTTGACCATTTAAACATTAAACCATTGAAATAAACAAACAGACCTAAATTTTCTTATTGTAAGTTTGGGTCTCAGATCTTTCAGAATATTTTAAAATGTAGAATAAGACTCTCCCAGGGTTCTTTTCAAATGTTAACTGGACTTGACAGAACAGTGGGAAGATAGGGAGAAAGAGAGGTGGGATGGGCAGGTAGCATATAGAACGGTAGAGCAAGACCTCATCTGGCTTGGGCTTGCTGCCTCCCTTGACAGTGCCATCTTATTATAAGGGGAGTTGAAATATAATAGAAGGAGAAAGAACATGGAAAAGATTTGGGCAGGATACTGCGTTGAATGTGCTTCCAGGTAGTAGAACACTGATAGCTAATACATTAGAATTTCTAGGTAGATTCTTTCTCATGCATGTTTATCTCTCCAAATTGTTTTTTGTTTTCTTTTGTTTGGCTTTTCCCAGATTCTGTTGGAAAGCAGTAAAGTTCATAAGTAATGTTTTGTAGACTATATTTCATTGGAAAGCTTTCCTGAAAGTTCTCATTAGAAAAAGAAGGCAAGCAGTAGTAATCTTTCTGCAAAGACAAAGGACACAAAGAAATTTAATGATTTTCTTCTTAATGTGTTTTTGTTTTGTTTTGTTTTGTTTTGTTTTGTTTTGTTTTGTTTTGTTGGTTTTTTGGTGCTAGAGACAGAAATAGGCAGGCAGCAGTGGAATTGTTAGGTCAGAGGTTGTGTGTATTAGGACTTTTAACAGATGTTGCTAAACTGCCCTCAGTAGAGATGGTACCCACCTCTGGGCCCCCAATAATGTCAGAGAGTGTATCTCTCCCCCCACTTTGACCAGCGCACTGTGGCACACATTTTGGTATCTTTCAGTCTGATAGAGCATCTTGGTGAAATAATAATTTGCATTCAGTTATCATGACTAAGGTTTGAGCATTGTTCAACCTATTTAAGAGTCACCTGAATTTCCTATTCTGGGAATTCAAGAACACATAATAGATGAAATAGACCTTTAACCCTTTTCGGTCCAACGTCGAGGCTGACTCAACAGACCAGGCGCTAGGAGCAGGTCCAACGTCGAGGCTGAGGTCGACACCGCAAACCGGTTCAACATTCAATCACGTCAATTAATTTGGACCAGACTGTTTGAGTTCCAAAAATAAAATTGGACCTCAAAGGGTTAAGGTGTAGTCCAACTGCTCAGCCTACAAATGAGGAACCTGTTTGGCCATGGTCACTTGGCTAGTCTTTGACTGAAGCAGAACCAAACACACCAGGGCTCCTAGTTATTATAAAAGCTCTTTGGGTGACAGTAAGGATTTGTAAAGGTCTCTGTGGCCGTCTGGGGTTTGTTTCTAGAATTAGAAAGTCTGGAAATTACAGTGCAATGTCACAATAACTTGACTGTAAGGACAAGTGTTTTTAGCCACCCTGAACTTCGGGTACCTCATCTGTAAAATGGAATTAAGGAATTAATGCTAGTTTTTTTGTCAAGGTCTCAAGGATTAGGGTTAATGTATATAAAGTAGCTGACACGAGTAGGCTCACCACTGTTACCACCTTCCTCATATTTGTGCATTCTTTTTGTTTGTTTGTTTAAATTAAGGCAGAACAGTTTTTCTGTTTTTATTTTTATTGATTTTACAGAGAGGAAGGGAACAGGATAGAGAGTTAGAAACATTGATGAGAGAGAAACATCGATCCTACTGGGGATCGAGCCCGCAACAAAGGTACATGTCCTTAACCATAATCAAACCCTGAACCCTCAAGTCTGTGGGCCAGCACTCTATCCACTGAGCCAAACTGGTTAGGGCTATTTATGCATTTTGCTATCTGACTTGCCCACTCTCATTTAAGCTCCAAGGGAGACTATAAATCATCACACCCGTACTGACTCCCAGAGATTTGAGACGAAAGATAATTCACTTTATCACTCTGTTTTTTAGGGTTTGTCTTTCAGCAAGGTCCCTTTTTCAGATTTCCAGGAGACAGCAAAAGCTTCCATATTTCAAACGGAAAGAGCTGTGTGTGGGCCAGGTTTTAACCCACTTTTAAGTAGGAAGGAGAAATGGGAAAAGAAAAGGGAGGGAAATTCCTGAAAACATGTTATTTTAAAAATATATATATTTATTGATTTCAGAGAGAAAGGGAGAGGGAGAGATATAAACATCAATGACAAGAGAGAAGCATTCATCAGCTGCCTCCTGCACACCCCACATTGGGGATGGAGCCTGCGACCCAGACATGTGTCCTGACTGGGAATGGAACTGTGACCGCCTGGTTCATAGGTCGACACTCAACCACTGAGCCACTCCGGCTGGGCAAAACATGTTATTTTAAACACACAGCCCAGATGATCATCTCAGCTGATATTAGGATTGCCAATAGTCAAGGTATTTTAAATGGGTGTTATTTCACCGTTATTATATATACTAATAAAAGGCTAATATGCTAATTAGACTGGACATCCTTCCGGACAAAGCCATGGTGGCGGGGCCAAGGCAGAGGCGGTTAGGGGTGATCAGGCCAGCAGAGGAGAGCAGTTAGGGGGATCAGGCTGGCAGGGGAGAGCAGTGAAGGCGATCAGGCTGGTAGGCAGGTGAGCGGTTAGGAGCCAGTGGTCCCGGATTGCGAGAGGGCTGTCCAAATGCTGGATTGCGAAAGGGATCCCGGATTGGAGAGGTTGCTGGCCGGGCTGAGGCCCACCCCCTCCTCCCCCCGCCCAGTGCATGAATTTCATGCACTGGGCCACTAGTTCATAATAATAATCACCATGCTTAAGCCTTTTTATATTTTAAAAGAAAATAAGATCAAATGCAGAGCTGGGTCCACAGGGGTTGCCACAGCCTTCCCTTCCCCGATGCCATGGAAGGCCTCTGCCCCCTCCCATGAGCTCTGAGCAGTCGTTTTCATTATCATCTTGGACTTCTCCTTCAGATGAAAGAGCTGAAGAGGCATCTTTAGTCCATTTTTGTCGCCTCTGGTTACCTCACTCATCCTGCCATTGCCTGCCCAAGTCTTAGTTAAAATAAAGTGGCATTTCTAACAGTTCTGAAAAATGAAGGGGAAAGTTAATTCTTAGGGACCTCTGCTTTACTCTCTAGTATTTTTCCAAGTGTGGCTCTCTGACCATCTGTACCTGATCTCTTGGATGCCTGTTGGAAATTCAGATTCTTAGCCTCCCCTCTCCTATAGACTTACTTTATCTTTTTAAAAATTTATCTTTACTGTTGAAAGTATTACAGATGTCCCACTTTTTCCCCATTGACCCCCTCCATTCCACACCCATCTCTACCCTCTGCCCCCACCCAAGCCTTCACCACACTATTGTCTGTGTCCATGAATTATGCATATAAGTTCTTTGGTTAATCTCTCCCCACCCACCTTCTGAGATTCATCGGTCTCTTCTATGCTTCTAAGTCTCTGGATCTATTTTGTTCATCAGTTTATTTTGTTCATGGTGAATCAGGATCTCTTGGGGGTAAATCCTAGAAATACCCATTTTCAACAAGCAGTTTCAGGAGTACATTAAAGTTTGGAACCACTGTTATTCCTTACTAGTTTCTTATTTCTTTTCCTTCTTTCTCCTGTTTCCTCTTATCTTCCCCTTTTCTTTTCTCATTCCCTGCACACCTGTTTGCTCCCTGTTTCTGCCTTCTTAATGCTAAGGGTTCAGAGTCGCCTGTTGAACTGTTCTTCTAATATAATAACTATAAGTCCTCTGGAAACTCAGTTAGGAGGGGGGAAATGTATGTATTTCTTACTGTCTTGCTTGTCCCCATAAAAGATGGTTATATACAAAGCTATCCTCTCTGAGTCCCAGCTTTTGGAAGTGCATCATTCTTTCAAGTACACAGAAGTATGATATTTACAGCTATATCCCAGTGTAGGGAATGGTCTTTGGGGATTGGAAATGGTCTTCTTTATAGAAACATCACTGGCATGATGTCCCAGGAAAGTCAGCCACCACCAGCCTCAGAATCATACACTGGTCTAGGTATCCTTGCTGGAGGGCACAAGGTAGTAAAGGCATTTGGGGAGCATGTGGTCAACAGGACAGGAAATAGTAGAGAAGGAAGTGGGACTGGCCAAGTGGAGCATCTGCGTGGAGTTTGGGGCAGGTGCCTCCAGGGTCCTGAACCTCTATTTTTTTTTTGTCTTCACAGCCACTGAAGAAGAGACCAAGATGAATGCAGAGGTGAGTTCTTTAAAAGTTCCAGTTTAAAGAATGCTTTTCTTGCAGTGTTCCTCATTTTTCCTTCACAGAGTGTCTTCTTTTCCTACAGAGCTTTCAGAAACATCAAACATCACCACAAACTCAAAAACATTTCCCCTCCAACATGGCTCTGGGTGATATGGGAAGAGTTAGGCCCATCTGCATTCTATTTTTTAAAAATTGATTTTTAGAGAGAGGAAAGGAGAGAGAGCAAGAGAGAGAAACATTGATGTGAGAGAGGAACATCAACCTGTTGCCTCCTACATGTATCCCGACCAAGGATTGAACTCACAACCTGGATATGTGCCTGGATATCGAACCCGTCACCTTTTGGTGTAGGGAATGGCACTTCAATCAACTGGGCACTTCAAGTCTTTTAAGGAATATGACTAATTCATCCAAATTGTTGAATTTCTAGTTATAAAGGTATTCATAATAGTCTCGTATTATCCTTTCAATATTTGTTAATTCTGTGTTAGTGTCCTTTTCCTCACTTTTGATATTTTTTCTGAGCTGCCTGGAGAGATAATCTCAAAAAACAATAAATACAGAACAACCATCATGCAGACACCTACTACACAGGACCATTCTACCAGTTCCAGAAGACATAGTAGCTCTACTTAATACATAGAAACAAACACAGGGAAGCAGCCAAAATGAGGAGGCAAAGAAACATGTCACAAATGAAAGAAATGGAAGCAAGCTAACTACTGGGTACAGAGTTCAAAACCATGGTTATACAGTTACTTAAGGATCTTCATGAGAACCTCAAGGTACTTAGTGAGACTTTCAAGGATCTCAGTGATAATGTCAAAGACATGAAAAACGACCACAGAAATTAAGCATACACTAACTAAAATAAAAATAATTTACAGGGATTCAATAGTAGAGGATTCTAAATCAACGATTTAGAATATGAGGATGCAAAAACACTCAATCAGAAGTGTGCCGCACCAATACAGCCAGGTTCGGTGAGCCTGAGAGGGGGCAGTGAAAGATTAAGAAAAGACAGACAAGAGAATAAGGGTGGGTCTGGGTGAGATGTTGCCCTCTCTGATGGACAGTGCCACAGCCTGCAAGCCGAGTCTTTATTTTATAGCCAGATTCTACAAGGCAAAGTAAGGGCGTGATCAAGATCTTTACAACATTCTTGTGGCTTTCGAATCTACTCAATTACAGGCAGGTGATCAAGTTTTGTTTACTTGCTGCACCTCAGGCAGCCCATATCACTTAGCCAACTGGGAGCTGCTGTCCACAAGAAGAGAAAAAGGAAAAAAGAATCTAAAAATATGAAGATAGTGTAAGGAGCCTCTAGGACAGTGGTTCTCAACCTTCCTAATGCCGCGACCCTTTAATACAGTTCCTCATGTTGTGGTGACCCCCAACCATAAAATTATTTTCATTTGCTACTTCATAACTGTAATTTTGCTACTGTTATGAATCGTAATGTAAATATCTGACATGCAAGATGCATTTTCATTGTTACAGATTGAACATAATTAAAGGATAGTGATTAATCACAAAAACAATATGTAATTATATATGTGTTTTCTGATGGTCTTAGGCGACTCCTGTGAAAGGATCATTCGATCCCCAAATGGGTCGCGACCCACAGGTTGAGAACCGCTGCTCTAGGACAACTTCAAGCATACCAACATTCACATTAGGGGGGGGCCAGAAGGAGAAGAGAGAGAGCAAGACATTGAAAACCTATTTGAAGAAATAATGACAGAAAACTTCCTCTACCGGGTGAAAGAAATAGATTTACAAGTCCAGGAAGCACAGAGAGTCCCAAACAAGAGGAACCCAAAAGGCCTGCACCAAGACACATCATAATTAAAAGGGTTAAAGACAAAGAGAGAATCTTACAAGCAGCAAGAGAAAAGCTGTTAGTTACCTACCAAGGGAGCTCCAGTATGACTGTTAGCTGATTTCGCAACAGACACTTTGCAGGCCAGAAGGGAGTGGCACAAAATATTCAAAGTGATGACTAGCAAGGACCTACAACCAAAATTACTCTAGCCAGTAAAGCTCTCATTTAGATTGAAGGTCAGATAAAGAGCTTCACAGACAAGGAAAAGCTAAAGGAATTCACCACCACCAAACCAGTAATGACATGAAATGTTGAAGGGTAGTCTTGAAGAAAATGGAGGAGGAAGCTGAGGAGGAGAGGAAGAGGAATAAAATAGAAAAAGTAGGGACAATAAAATGGCAATAAATGCATATATATCCACAATTGAATCTAAAAATAAAAATAAATGAACAAGGAATCTAATAAACAAAATAAACTGGTGGATAAAATAGAATCAGAGGCATGGAAACATGGAACTGACTGTCAATCTCAGAGGGAAGGGGGAAGGGTGGCCTGAAAGAGATTACCCATGGTCACAAACAATAGGGTGATGAAAACCTGGGGTGGGGGTGGGGATGGGGGACCACATGGAAGGGGGCAGTGGGGTACAAAATGGGTGATATCTGTAATATTCTCAACAATAAAGGCTTAAAAAAATAAAGGAAATGAGCAACCTGTCCTGGCTAGTGTTGCTCAGTGTTTAGAGCATTGGCCCACTCACCAAAGGGTTGAGTGTTCAATTCCTGGTCAAGGGCACATACCTGGGTTTCAGGTTCAATCCCTGGCCCCTATTGGGGGGCATACAGGAGGCAGCCAGTCAATGTGTCTCACATCAATGTCTCTCTCTCTCTCTCCCTCTCTCTATCTATCTCTATCTCTATCTCTATCTCTGTCTCTGTCTCTCGTTTTCTTTCTCCCCCCTCTTCCCTCCATTACACTCTTTAAAAATCAATGGAGAAAATATCCTTGGGTGAGGATTAACAACAACAAAAAAGAAATGAGCAAGCTGTGTGCATATAGTATATTCCAACTATGCCTAGTAAATAAGTTGAGCCTATAGTTAAAAACCTTTCTTCAGAGAGAAATTGTGCTAGATTGAAAATGCAGGTTGCTATGATGTGAAATGCCTGTGCACAGAGACCTTTGTCAGGGAACTGCAGGTGGCTTCCAGGAGCTGAGGGCCTCTCCTACAATCATGAGGTCATCTGAATTCTGCTGGCAACCACACAAGCTTAGCAGAGATCCTTGAGCTGTGGGTGAGAACATAACTTGGTCAGCCTTGTGAAATCTGAGCAGAGGACCCAGTTAAGCCATGTTCAGATTCCTTACCCAACAGAGAATGTGAGATAATAAATTTGGCAACGGATCATAGATTGGTGTACTGGGCAGACTCCTTCCCCATAATTTATAGCTGAAAGACATTGTCAGAAAACAGGATGAGCATCAAATGGTTTATCATTTTTGTACTCAGTGAATTCCCATTTCCCTCATACACAGCACCAATAGAGAAAGTCATTCAACATTGGCATCCAGCAGCAATTCTAGCTCAAATTATTCAAAATCAACCACTCCATCATCTAATCAAGAAACATTGTCTAGAACTGTCAGTTCTCCCTCAGAAGGACTGAGGCAACATTGCGTTCTACATAAAAACCATGCCCTGTAGGCTAATCAGTTCCCACATTCAATGCAAAGAAATATAGACAACTAGTTTCTTGGGCAAGCTCTTCTAGCTAGATTCCTAGTGTAGCCAGCTTTCAACCAATGCAGATGCTGTGGTGGCTAATTCTTATTATGCTCTATTATGTGCAATTTCAAGCCACAGGCAACAACAAATGCCAGCCCAGCCCACCCTATTGCTTCACAGTTTCTGAAGCTGGCACATGTCCCTGGAGAATAATACCCACCAGCCCCAAACCTAGTAGCTCAAGAAAATTAACACACGAATGTCAGTGTTCAAATGAATGCACAGAGAGGTCCAGTGCTAAATGAAGAAGTCAGTTGAGACTTGCTAGACTGGATGTACACTCCCAGGAGCTGCAGTTCTCTTTAGCATTGACCATGTTTTTTCTTCTCTAGTCAGCTCATTATGGTAACGGAAGATGTAGTACTGGTTTACGTACAGCAAATTGGATGATTTCCTATTAGGAAAGAAGGAGGTCAGCAGCAGTCTCCTTATAATAACGCCAAAGTTAACAATAATGGGAAACTGTCTAAAACTTGAAGAAATGGGTCATTTTATGAGTGATGGGCTTGACAGTGAGGGTGGGGAAGTATAGGTGAAGATGCTGGTGCAAATCAAAGCCCTGGATTGTAGGCTTCAACGTGGTCTTTTAGCACTGCCTTCTTTTTCAATCACAGTCAGTTTATATTCAACATTATTTTGTATTAGCTTCAAGTATATAGCATAGTGTTTAGACAATTGTATACTCATGTGTCCCCCCAATATTTCTAGTACCCACCTGGCACCATACATAATTATTACAATACTAGAGGCCTGGTGCATGAATTCATGCACCACTGGGGTCCCTCTGCCTGGCCTATGGGATCAGGCCAAAACTAGCTCTCCGACATCCCCCGAGGGGTCCTGAATTGCAAGAGGGTGCAGGCCAGCCTGAGGGCCCCCACTGGTGCTGGATCAAGGCCGGGGAGGGATGCGGGAGGTTGATCAGCTGGGGAGGGGCCACATGAGGGCTCCAGGGTATGTCTGGCCCATCTCTCTCAGTCATAATTGGCCAGACCCCAGCAGCAAGCTAACCTACCAGTCGGAGCATCCTCCCCCTGGTGGTCAGTGCACATCATAGCGACTGGTCAACTGGTAGACTGTCTGCCCCCTGGTGGTCAGTGAACATCATAGCAAGCAGTTGAGCTGTCTTAGCATATCATTAGCATATTACACTTTGATTGGTTGAATGGATCACTGGATGACCAGACACTTAGCATATTAGGCTTTTATTATATAGAATTTGAATTGCACATGTAAGTGCAATCATATAAAATTTGTCTTTCTCTGACTTGTTTCACTTAGCAAAATACCCTCTAGGTCTATTCATGCTGTTGCAAATAAGATTTCATTCTTTTTTTATAGCCTAGCAGGATTCCATCATGTATATGTACCACAACTTTTTTATTCACTCATCTATTGATGGGCACATGGGTTGTTTTCATATCATGGCTATTGCAAATAATGCTTTGATGAAAATGGGGGTGCGTATATTCTTTTGAATTAGTGTTTTGGGTTTCTTTGGTTATATACCCAGAAGTGGAATTACCATGTCATAAGGCAATTCCATTTTGAATTTTCTGAGGTATTGCTACACGGTTTTCCATAGTGGTTGCACCAATCTGCATTCACACCGACAGTGCAATAGGGTTTTCTTTTCTCCATATCACCATCAACACTTGTTGCTTGTTGATTTATTGATAATAGCCCTTCAGACAGGTATGAGATGGTATCTCATTTTGGTTTTGATTTAAATTTCTCTGATGACTAGTGGTGTTGAACATCTTTTCATATGCCTATTGGCTAGTGGTATATTCTCTTTGGAGAAGTATCTATTTAGGTTTTTCTGCCCATTTTTCAATTGGATTGTTTGTTGTTGTTTTCTGGAGCTGAGTTGTATCAGTTCTTTATATTTTTTGGATACTAACCCCTTGATGGAGCTGTTGTTTGCAACTATCTTCTTCCATTCGGGTGGTTGCCTTTTTGTTTTGTTGGCAGCTCCATTTGCTGTGCAGAAGTTTGTTAGTTTAATATAGTCCCATTCATTTATTTTTGCTTTACTTTCTTTTGGGGTCAAATTCATAAAATCCTCTCTAAGACCAAGGTCCATACGATTAGTACCTATGTTTTCTTCTATGGAATTTATTTTTTCAGGTCTTAAATTTAAGTCTTTGATCCTTTTTGAGTTAATTTTGTAAATGGGGACAAACAGTAGTCTAGTTTCATTCTTTGCATTTGCTTTCCAATTTTTCCAGCACCACATAGCGAACAGCCTTTTTCTTTTTCAATGTATTTTTTTGGGGGGGGCTCCTTTGTCAAAAGTTATTTGTCCATATGTATGTTAGTTTCTTTCTAGGCTCTCAATTCTGTTCCATTGTTCTGTGTGTCTGTTCTTCTGCCAATACTATGCTGTTTTGATTATTGTCATTTTGTAGCATAATTTGAAGTCAAGGAGTTTGATACCTCCAGCTTTGCTCTCTTTTCTCAGGATTGCTTTGTCTATTTGGGGTCTTCTGTAGTTCTATACAAATCTGATAAATTTTTTATCTACTTCTTTTAAAAATGCCATTTGGTTTTGATGAAGATTGTATTAACTTTGTATATTGCATTGAGTAATGAAAGGTTAAAGTCAGTGGTATGCAGGCAAGGCTAAATAGCCATCTCAGACAGTAATTAAAGAAAATTTAAATTTATTTCAATAAAAGGGAATGGGGCATGGAGATATCCAAAGGGCAGGGTTACACAGTACTGAGCCAAAGGGTATTGGGTCCATGATGGCAGCAAAAATATTCTTAGGGCAGTGAAACAAGGAAGGGCATCGAAGAAGCAACAGGAGAGCCTGGGATGGGCTGCTTTGGCTCACTGAGAAGCCAGAGAAAAGGGGGCCTTGGAGACAGGTTCAGGGGCTTAGCCCGGGACAAGCTACAGCTGCCCATTGCTCCCTGGTTGCAAGCCTCATGGGGTCTCTTAGAGGTTAGGGGATACGTGCCTGTCGGGGGGGAGGAGAAGGGGAAGGAAATGACCTTGGTGGGAGAGCAGGCTCTGGGTCCTTTGTCCTGAAAGCTTAGTTATCTCTTTCTTGCAGGTGGAAATCTTAGGGGAGATTTCAGGGGAGGGTCTTAATAGAATATTCATCAGCTTTCCAGGTGTCATCTTCTCCTCTGAGTGGTTGGTGCCAGGGCAGAGGGTCATTAGTCAGTGTCGCTGGTCCTGAGGCAGCCACAATATCACTTGTCTGGTTTTGCTGCTTTTCTGGGCCTGGAGCTGAAATGCAACTGAGACCTATCTTTAGGGAGGAGAATGTCAGGGGGTCTAAACCGCCTGGTCAGTGATATGAAAGATAAGGGGTCCAAACCACATGACCAGTGATATGCGAGGGGAGGATACGCTACCGTGGGGGCGAGGTTCTTGTTTTCCCAGTATTGACCCTGGTTAGCAACTGGGGCTTTCTGCCCTGGTGAGTTTCTGTAACGGGGCCATCATCCTTACTCTACTTAGGTCTGTCTAACAGGTAATATGCCATATTAACTTTGTTGATTCTTCCAATTAGGAACACAGAATATCTTTACATTTATTTGTGTCTTTTTCAATCTCTTTTAATAATACTTTGTAGTTTTCAGTGTATAAGTCCTTCACATCCTTTGTTAAGTTTATTTGTAGGTATTTTATTCTTTTTGTTGCAATCGCAAAAGGAATTGTTTTTTCCATTTCTTTTTCTGAAATGTCATTGTTAGTATATAGGAATGAAATGGAATTTTATACATTGGTTTTGTATTCTGCAACTCTACTGTTTATTGTTTCTAATAGTTTTGCGGTAGAGTTTTTAGTATTTTCTATATAAAAAATCAAGTCATTGCAAAAACTGACAATTTTATTTCTTCATTCCTAATTTGGATGCCTTTTATTTATCTCTTTTGTCTGATTGCACTGGCTAAGACTTCTAGTACTACATTGAATAACAGTGGTGAGAGTGGACAATGAGTTATCACCTCACACTTGCTAGAATGGCTACCATCAATCAATAAATAAACAAGTGTTGGTGAGGATGTGAAGAAAAGTTAACCTTAGTACACTTGTGGTGGGAATGCCGACTGTGTAGCCACTGTGGAAAACAGTATAGGGTTTTGTCAAAAAACTAAAAATGGAACTACCAGTGATCCCATTGTGGGACTATAATCTCAGAATCCAGAAACAGCAATCAAAAAGAATATATGCACCTGTATGTTTATAGCAGTATTATTTACAGTAGCTAAGATATGGAAACAGCCTAAATGCCCATCTGCAGATGGGTAGATAAAAAAAAACACCCGTAGTACATTCGCACAATGGAATACTATGGGGCTGTAAAATAGGAGTTCTTAAACTTTGTGACAGCCTGGAGGGACTGGAGATTATTATACTAAGTGAAGTAAGCCAGTTAGAGAAAGACAAATACCACATGGTCTCATATGTGAAATCGAATGAACAAAATAAACTGATGAACATGGAAGCATGGAACAGAATGACAGATCTCAGAGATGGGGCAGGGGAAGGGAGTGGAGGGGATGGGAAAAAATTAGCCAAAGAACATATATGCATATATGCATAATCCATGGACACAGACAATAGTGGGGGAAGGCCTGGAGTGGGGCGGGGGTAGTGTGGAGGGAGAAAAAAGGGGCAAAATGAGGGACATCTGTAATACTGTCAACAATTTTTAAAAAGATACAGGATTCCAGAGGGTGGGTGAGCCAGATTCTTGAGGGTGGGGTAATGCTTTTCCCCATGCTGATGGCGCTGGGGGGTGATTGCTCCTTGTAGGAAAAATGGCTGCTGTGGAATGGGGAGATCGCCCAGCACAGGGATCCTTGCAGCCACTCTGCCAGGTCTCTTCCCAGTCTCTCCTCAGGTGATTTCAGTCCACATCACCCTCTCTCTGCTGGAGCCCAAGTTGAGTGGCTGGCAACAGTTTTGCACATTGGCCCTTTAAAAGGGTCGCTTTGTCTCCAGCAGGCCCACCTCTCCTTAGCGGACAGGAACCCCTCAGCCCTTCACAGGTAGATGCTACGTGGGAACTGTTCCCCACGAGGCTGGTGATGCAGACTGGGAGTGTGGTCTGGGATCTAGGCTTCAGGCCTCACAGGTTAACCTCCTGCAGTTGAGCTATCCCTTCCCTAACCTTGGCCTGTCTCCCGTGGGATGGGGCCAGTTTCTTACACATCTAGCCCTTCCTAACAGTCTTGAGGTGGCTTCTTCTGCCAGTTGTTGGCATTCAGGTTGTCTTTAGTTGGTAATTCAGGGTGATTATTCCCTAATTTAGTTGTGATTTCCAGTTCTCTTCTGGGAGCAAGCAAGGTCCACCTACTCCACTGCCATTTTGAACCCTGCCCATTTTTCAGTTGGATTATTTGTCTTCTTGGTGTTAAGTTGTATGAGTTCCTTATATATTTTGAAAATTAACCCCTTATCAAATGTGCTATCCCCTACAGTGGGTTCCCTTTTCATTTTATTGAGGGTTTCTTTTGCTGTGCAGAAGCTTTTGATTTTTTAAAATTTATTTGTTGTTGACACTATTACACATGTCCCCCATTTTTGCCCCCCCCTTTGCTCACTTCTACCCAACCCCCACCCTCAGCCCCCAGTACCATTTGTTTAATTTTTCTTTGTTTCCATTGCCCTAGGAGATATATTGGCAAAAATATTGCTATGAGAGATGTCTGAGACTTTACTACCTCTGATTTCTTCTAGGATTTTTATGGTTTCCTGACTTTTATCCATTTCAAGTTTAGTCTTGTATATGGTATAATTTAGTGGTATATTTTCATTTTCTTGCATGCACCTGTTCAAGTTTCCCAATATTATTTATTGAAGAGACTGTCTTACTTCATTTTATGCTCTTGGCTTCCGTATCCAATATTAATTGTCCAAAGCGGCATGGGCATATTTCTGGGCTCTCTGTTCTGTTCCACTGACCTACATACTTGTTCTTGTACCAATATCAGGCTGTTTTGATTACAATGTTCTGTAGTATAGTTTTCTTTCAGGTCTTTTGATATCTCCAACATTGTTCTTTCTCAAGATTGCTGCAGCTCTTTGGGGTCTTTTTTGGTTCCATATACATTTTTTGAATATTTGATCTAGACCTGTGAAATCTGCCATTGGTATTTTAATAGGAATTGTGTTGCACTCTCGACTGTTTTAAACCCCACCTTGGTGTCTTGTGTTTTAGCCTGAGAGGAAGTTTGGCGTGGTGGTGGTGGGCGTTGGCAGAGCCGGCTCTGTGCGGATGAGAGACTTGCGGAGCGCGCATGCTTCCTCAGCGTTCCTGAACCTGATTGGCTTCGTGTCCAGGTGGCTCACACTTGCTTTTCTCCTTGTAATTCATGGGGAGCCAGTGGGATGGAGAAGGCCTGGGGATATGGAGATTCTCGTGACCCAGGAGAGAGAATCAGCTCCAGAGTTTTCCAGAAAACTTTGCTCAGGGTTAGTCCCACAAGATCTCAAGTTCGGATAGGTCTGGGAACTGAAGCATGCTGGGATGAGCAGTGAACAAGCCTAGAAGAGACCACAGAGGCAAAGGAGGGAAGATGAGCACAGGGCCTGTAGTTACACATGGAACACAAGGGCACAGGGAACACAGGGAGGGCTGGCCTGAAAGAAGGCTTCAGGTGTGCAGCAGTTAATCACTACATCACTTATCCATGCGGTAGCCCTGAGCTTTATGAGCCTTACCGACCATTTGACATAGATACCATTACCATTATCAACTCCACCTTTAAGAAACTGAGCCACTTTTTGAAAGGTTGAGTCATTTGCCTGAGGTCGCACAGCTGGAAAGTCTAAGAACTGGATTTGAATGTAGGTCTATTTGATTCCAAGGCCCGTCTTTAAATACCATGTGTTCTTTTTCCTTTGGTAATTTTGAGCCCCACTTTTGGGGAGCTTCATTTCTGTCCTGTAACCAACCAAAATCAAACTTATCACCATTTGTATTATTTATTGCCCCATTTCAGCTCTTTTCTCCACCCCTCACTGCTTTCTCACACACATACTGCTCACCAAACTAATGCTATGTAACATCATTTATCAATATTAATTGTGAACTAGCTGCAGGCATTGTGTTGGCTGAGGAAATGTGGTGGTGAGTAAGGTAGGCATGTCTCTACTTTCTAGTGCTTTAGAGAAATCAAATAAATATATTTAGAAAGCATAATTAACTATTTGATAGTCCATGCAGATTCTTTTATTTATTTATTTATTTAATTTGTTTATTTAAATATATTTTTTATTGATTTTAGAGAGGAAGGGAGAGGGGGAAAGAGAGATAGAAACATCAATGGTGAGAGACAATCATTGATTGGTTGCCTCCTGCACACTCCCTACTGGGGATGGAGTCTGCAACCTGGGCATGTGCCCTTGACTGGAATCGAACCCGGGACCCTTTAGTCAGCAGGCCAATGCTGTATCCCCTGAGCCAAACCAGCTAGGGCCATGCAGATTCTTTTAATATTTTAATTTATGGGGCCTACTTTCTTCCAGTTCGCCTGTCTCAAAATTTGGCTATTCCTTTAAATATTTAAAGTGGACTTTGGGTCACTAGGGTGACTCAGAAGTTCTGGGAATCTGCAGATGGTCAATCCTCCCCTCCCAGTAAGATTCTAAGGGAGCTGCATACAAATAGGAGATCAAAAGTACCATTAGCCACACTATAACGCCCGCTGTGCCCCGGTTTGAAGCTCTCATTGAGCATGATGTAGTGAAGCTTTTCCTTTTTGCTTAAGCCTCAGCCCTCTGCCAATCGGCTGCCATGGCTGATGCAGTGGGAATCCCTAAAGTCCCCAGGTTGTGTGGGAAGATGGCCAGCTCATACCCACTGCTTTACTGCACCCTTGCCATTGTCACACTTTTCCCCTGCTCACTTACCCTGTTCCTCACGGTCTGCTAAGTCCTACCTTCTCCCCAGGAGGCCTTTTCTGAAACCCTAAACTTGATGTTTCCTGCCCTCCTTGAGTCTCCCACATGTACTCCAGCACCACAGTTCTCATGTTAGACCTGTGTTGTTGTTATTGATGTGTATGTGACTGCCTCTCTCTACAAGACTGTGAGCTCAATAGACGCTGAGGACTTTTAGTTTATTCTTTATGGTCCTCCCCATGGTGCCTAGCACACAGTCGGCAAACAATAAGTATTGGTCAAATGGAGCAGTGTAGATTGGGTAGCCCCCATAGGAAGAAACCTACCATAATCTCTTTTGGCAGCCAAACTGGCCCAAATGCCCTCTGCCTGCTGCAGCTTAAGTGGAGCTCTGCGATGGATGGGAGCCCTCTGCTGGCGCCCCATCTCCTCTGTTGCATCCTTCATCAGAGGACTGCTCTGTTGCTCCAGCCTCTGCACAAGGGTAGCGTGCAGAATGCCAGGATCCTCAGATCTTCTAAATAAGGAGTTTCTTCTTACCCTGTAAGAGGCAAAAGGCTTAGGGTTCCTGTCCTGCTTCTGCTACTCTTTTTGGCAACTACTGCCCCTCTGGGCTTTGTCAGCTCACCTGTAAAGGAGGCAGTGATACCTGCCTTCCATTGACCATCACAAGGCCACTGATGGTTGTGAAGGAGCTTGAAGTCACACAGCAATTTGTACCTCTAAGGTGTTAATATATGGGATTCGACTTAGGTTTGGTAGCCATAGTGTTTGGCCAGGTACTTGGAGCTGGCAGTGACCATAGGGATTATTCTTCTTAAGGAAAAAGATCAATTATTTTTATTTTAGATATTAAGTGATTCAAAGACTTCCACCTCACACTGGTTGTTAGCAGTAGTATCAGCACTCATTGCCCGGTCCCATGACTTCAATCCTGAGGCTGTTTTCACTCCATCACGGAAAATGTCCTGAAGTGGGGGGAGGAAGTTAATTTTTTCTCTCCCTAAAGATGATCATCAAGACATTTCTGGGAGGAGGGAGAAAGATGATGCTCGTTTATTCTAAGTCGATGTCTGTCTACTTTTAAGTTCCATTTCTGTTATTTTCAAACAGGCGCGAGCTCAAATGCATTGATGAAGTCCAGCAGATTTCTTTGGAAGATGCTCTTTCTAGCCAAGAGGTTGACGTTGCTTATATCTGCAGTGAAAACACCAGCCATGAGGACTATATCAGGTGGGTTTCAGTTCAGGAAGTCCTGGCCTTGCACAGTAGTTCAGGACTGCAAAAATGACTGGGCAAGCTGAAGTCTCACAAATGGGTCTTAATAGTCAATGGGGAAAATTACAATGGATCCATCACCTTTAAAAATTGTCGTCTGGGGGGATGAGTTGTGTGGAGGAGAGCAAAGAGGGGAGAATGGAGGATATACTATATAATAAAAACCTAGGTGGTGTCATGCAAGGGCGACATCATCATAAGATGGCCAACACAAGATGGCTGGCAGGGGAGGGCAGTTGTGGGTGATCAGGCCAGCAGGGGAGGGCACTTGGGTATGACCAGGTCGTCAGGGGAGGGCATTTGGGGGTGACCAGCCTGCAGGGGAGGGCAGTTTGGGGGCAATTGGGCCAGAAGGGAAGGGCAGTTGGGGGCAACCAGGCCTATAGGGGAGGGCAGTTAGGTGCGACCAGGCCGACAGGGGAGGGCAGTTAGGGGTGACCAGGCCAGCAGGGGAGGGTAGTTGGGAACGATTGGGCCAGCAGGGGAGGGCAGTTGGGGGCGATCAGGCTGTCAGGGGAGCAGTTAGGTGTCAATCAGGTCAGCAGGGGAGCAGTTAGGGGGTGATCAGGCTGGCAGGTAGAAGCAGGTAGGGGCAATCAGGCAGGCAGCAGGTGAGCGGTTAAGAGTCAGCAGTCCCGGATTGTGAGAGCAATGTCCGACACAGGGATCGGGTCTAAACCAGCAGTCGGACATCCCCCAAGGGGTCTCAGATTGGAGAGGGTGCAGGCCGGGCTGAGGAACAGTCCTCCCCCGCACCTCCCTCCCCCCTCCCCATGCACAAATTTCATGCATCAGACCTCTAGTGTGTAATAATGTCAACAATAAAAAGATGATCAAAACTTTAAAAACTTTCCTATTAGTTATAAATATGTAAGGAAGTGAAAAATATAGTAAAGTTAATACTTCTTTAGTACACTATGATTTAAAACATTAGAAATATTAAGAATGAAAGTGTTTTATTTCTTTGTAAAAAAATGTATTGAGAGGCAACCAAGATGGCGGCATAGGTTAACGCCGTAGATTGCTGCCTCGAACAACCAATTCAAGGGTACACCTAAAAGATGGAACGGACATCATCCAGAACCACAGGAAGGCTGGCTGAGTGGAAATTCTACAACTAGGAGGAAAGAGAATATCATACCCAGACTCAGAGGAGGCGCAGTGCTGAAGTGAAATACTGAGGTGCGGAGTGCATGCAGAGCGGGCTGGCGGCGGAGGGCGCGGTTGTTGTTTTCAATCGGGAGGGAGTTTCAGACTCTGAGCTCCAGATCTGGGCGAGTCTCTAGGGACCCAGACTCAAACGGGAGAAGCCGGACTGTCTGGCTTCGGTCGGAACTCGAAGGCAGCTTTCTCTCCGAGGTTTGCAGTGGTTGCTGGGACTCTGTGAGGCAGAGCCCCTGGGGACGGAACTGAGAGCAGCCATAACTGCTCGCTCCGCCCGCCCTGTTTGATCCCGTGCGACCCGCCCCGCCCAAGCCCTGCACAGAGCCATTTGCCAGATAGCCTCAGGCAAAGGCTAGATTAGCACCTCCCCAGAGGACAGAAGTTTTCCCACTGCAGACACAGCTGACTCTCACAGCCAGTTGGCCTGGAGGTCAAATCCCCCCAGTATTAACTACAACAATCAAGGCTTAACTACAACAAGACTGCGCACAAAGACCACTAGGGGGTGCACCAAGAAAGCATAAAAAAAAATGCGGAGACAAAGAAACAGGACAAAATTGTCAATGGAAGATATAGAGTTCAGAACCACACTTTTAAGGTCTCTCAAGAACTGTCTAGAAGCTGCCAATAAACTTAATGAGATCTACCAGAAATCTCATGAGACCCTCGATGTTATGATGGGGAACCAACTAGAAATTAAGCATACACTGACTGAAATAAAGAATACTATACAGACTCCCAACAGCAGACCAGAGGAGCGCAAGAATCAAGTCAAAGATTTGAAATGCGAAGAAGCAAAAAACACCCAACTGGAAAAGCAAAATGAAAAAAGAATCCGAAAACACGAAGATAGTGTAAGGAGCCTCTGGGACAGCTTCAAGCGTACCAACATCAGAATTATAGGGGTGCCAGAAGAAGAGAGAGAGCAAGATATTGAAAACCTATTTGAAGAAATAATGACAGAAAACTTCCCCTACCTGGTGAAAGAAATGGACTTACAGGTCCAGGAAGCGCAGAGAACCCCAAACAAAAGGAATCCAAAGAGGACCACAGCAAGACACATCATAATTAAAATCCAAGAGCAAAAGACAAAGAGAAAATCCTAAAAGCAGCAAGAGAAAGAAACTCGGTTACCTACAAGGGAATACCCATACGACTGTCAGATGATTTCTCAACAGAAACTTTGCAGGCCAGAAGGGAATGGCAAGAAATATTCAAAGTGATGAATACCAAGAACCTACAACCAAGATTACTTTATCCAGCAAAGCTATCATTCAGAACTAAAGGTCAGATAAAGAGCTTCACAGATAAGGAAAAGCTAAAGGAGTTCATCACCACCAAACCAGTATTATATGAAATGCTGAAAGGTATCCTTTAAGAAGTGGAAGAAGAAGAAAAAGGTAAAGATACAAATTATGAATAACAAACATGCATCTATCAACAAGTGAATCTAAGAATCAAGTGAACAAATAATCTGGTGATCATAATAGAATCAGGGACATAGAAAGGGAATGGACTGACTATTCTTGGGGGGGAAAGGGGTGTGGGAGATGCGGGAAGAGACTGGACAAAAATCGTGCACCTATGGATGAGGACAGTGGGTGGGGAGTGAGGGCGGAGGGTGGGGCGGGAACTGGGAGGAGGGGAGTTATGGGGGGAAAAAGAGGAACAAATGTAATAATCTGAACAATAAAGATTTAATTAAAAAAATGTATTGAGAGTAGTTTGAACAGTGTTTGCCTTTTTCTCATCATATAACTCAGGATATAAAGCCAGCATCTTCACCAAGCCAGCCACCGTGCCTTGGTGAATTGCCATCGTTTATTCTAAGTTTGGAAAAGCTTAAAAAATTTTATCCTTTGCACTTTCAACATCTGAAATATCTCTGAGAGCTCCTTTAATATGAAGTGGTTCTGCCATGAGATAAGAAAGGAAGTAGTGGTGGCATCAGAGAGGGGAGATGACTGTTTATAAAGCCAGAGAATCGAGGTGTCCCCCTGCCCCGCCTTTGAGTGAAAAGCCTAGAGCCCTGCAAGCATTCGGTGGGATTGAGCCTGGAAGGTGGAGGCCGGGGAGGACCTAGCCAGCTGTCTCCCTGAGCCTCAGCTTCCCTTCTAGGTCCCTACGTTAAACTGCTTCTGCTGTTTCCAGGAGCAAGGTGCTCCCTCTTTATCATGCCGATTGTTGTGTGGACAGAGTGTGTTTAGGAAAACCTTTCTTTGGTTTTCCTTAACCGTTTTGGTACCAGAGTGGTGTTTTCTTTTTAAATTTTTTTAAAAAAAAAAGTGATCATATAACTATATGCTTATACAGTTGACCTTTGAACAACGCAGGTTTAAACCGCACAGGTCCACTGACATGTAGATATTTTTAAATAAATACAATTAAATTTTTTTTGGAGATTTGAGATAATTTGAAAAAATTTGTAGACAAACTGTGTAGCCTAGAAAATATCAAAAACTTTAATAAAAAGTTAGGTAGTCATGAATGCATAAAATACATATAGATGATAGTTTATTTTATCATTTACTACCATAAAATATTTACAAGTCCTATATAATAAAGAGTTAATATGCTAATTAGACCGAACAGCAGAACAACTGTCCAGACAATGTTCCAGATGAGGGCCGGCTGAGGCTGCAAGGGGCTGCGAGGGCTGGCCGAGGCAGCCGGGGATGTGAGAGGCAAGCCCCTTGCATGAATTTTGTGCCCCTTGTACGAAGTCTATTATAAAAAGCGAAAGTTTGTCCAAACTTAATCACACAAGCACAACTGTAAATGGTACCATTCATAGTTGAGAGAAATGTAAACAAATGTAAAAATGAAGTACTAAACCATAACAGTATAAAATTAACTGTAGTACATACTATAGCTATACTAATAGAAGGGTAATAAGCTAATTAGACTGGATAAACCAGATGTCTTCCGGACGTCCTTCCAGACAAAGCCACGGTGGCAGAGACTGAGGCAGAGGCAGTTAGGGTCGATCAGGCCAGCAGGGGAGAGCACTTAGGGGTGATCAGGCAGGCAGGCAGAAGCAGTTACCCCACCACCACTGTCCTTGTCCATAGGTGTACGATTTTTGTCCAGTCTCTTCCTGCATCCCCCACACCCCTTTCCCCCCAAGAATTATCAGTTCACTCCCTTTCTATGCCCCTGATTCGTCAGATTTTTTTATTCACTTGATTTTTACACTCACTTGTTGATAGATATGTATTTGTTGTCACTGTGTTGTTCATAATTTTTATCTTTACCTTTTTCTTCTTCTTCCTCTTCTTAAAGATTACTCTTCAGCATTTCATATAATACTGGTTTGGCGGTGATGAACTCCTTTAACTTTTTCTTATCTGTAAAGCTCTTTATCTGACCTTCAATTCTAAATGATAGCTTAGCTGGATAGAGTAATCTTGGTTGTAGGTTCTTGCTATTCATCACTTTGAATATTTCTTGCCATTCCCTTCTGGCCTGCAAAGTTTCTGTTGAGAAATCAGCTGACAATTGTATGGGTACTCCCTTGTAGGTAACTAGCTGTTTTTCTCTTGCTGCTTTTAAGATTCTCTCTTTGTCTTTTGCCCTTGGCATTTTAATTATGATGTGTCTTGGTGTGGTCCTCTTTGGATTCATTTTGTTTGGGGTTCTCTGTGCTTCCTGGACTTGTAAGTCTATTTCTTTCACCAGGTGGGGGAAGTTTTCTGTCATTATTTCTTCAAATAGGTTTTCAATATCTTGCTCTCTCTCATATTCTGGCACCCCCATAATTCGGATGTTGGTGCGCTTGAAGTTGTCCCAGAGGCTCCTTGCACTATCTTCATATGTTTGTATTCTTTTTTCCTTTTGCTTTTCCAGTTGGGTGTTTTTTGCCTCTTCGTATTTCAAACCTTTGATTTGATTCTTGGGATCCTCTAGTCTGCTGTTGGATCTCTGTATATTATTCTTTATTTCAGTCTGTTTATGCTTAATTTCTAATTTGTCTTTTTTCATATATTTGAGGGTCTCACTATATTTCTCGGAGGTTTATAGAAGATTCTTGAGTAACCTTATAACCATGGTTTTGAATTCTATATCCAGTAGTTTGCTTTCCTCCATTTCTCTCATTTGTGACCTGTTTCTTTGTCTCTGCATTTTGGCTGCTTCCCTGTGTTGATAGAGTGGCTTTGTGTGTTAGGTGTCCTATAAGGCCCAGTGGCTCAGCCTCCCCAGTCACCTGAGGTGGATGCTCTTGGTGCACCCCTTTGTGGGCTGTGTGCACAGTCTTATTGTAGTTAAGCCTTGATTGCTGTTGGTATCACTGGGAGAAATTGACCTCCAGGCCAGTTGGCTGTGAGGACCAGTTGTGTCTACAATGGGAGAACTTCTGTGCTGGAGACACCCTTATGGGGCAGGACTTGCTTCAGTGGGGCTTTGGTGCTCACTGAATCTGCTCCCTGGGTGTGTCTCTTATGAATGTGAAGAGTTGTAATCTGGATGGTCTCACTCTGACCACTGGGTATATTGGCTCTTGGATCTCCAAGGAGGTGCAAAGTGAACCACTGCCTGAGGCCACCCTCAGAGATCTGCAGATTCATCCTCTTTGTTTGGGGTTTGGAGGTGCTCCAATGAAGCACAGCTGTGAAGCAATGTAGGCTGCTGAGGAGCCTTAGGCCTTATTTTGAATGCTCTGGGGTTCTCTGACACAGCTACAGTTTGACAGGTTTTTAGGCAGAGAAAGGCCAGGCCATTCGTATGCAAAAGCCTCTGTGCACAGCTTTGGTGGGGTTGTAAATTGGGTGCGGCGGGGGTGGGGGGGGGTGTCTCAGGGAATCACTAGGGTGAAGCAAATAGCTGGTTGCCCGTCAGCCCTGCCCCGGTAGGTCCTGGGGTCTGTGTTGTGCGTCCCCATGGAGGAACAATGAACGCTGCAAGCACCTTTGTGAGAAAGCCGCCCTCACGTTCCGGCCCAATGCCAGAGAGTACATTTCTCTCCGTATGAGTCTGGGTCCCCAAATTCTCACCTGGAACTGGATTTCAGAGCAGTCGGGAGCTTGTATCTCTCTCCCGATTGAAAAAGACAACATAGCCAGCTGCCAGCCCCTTTCGCGTGCGCCTCCTTACCTCCACACTTTCACACCTCTGCACCTCCTGCCAGACTTAATGAGCTTTTCTCTTTCCTTCTAGTTGTCGAACTTCCACCCAGCCAGCCTTCCCGTGGTTCTGGATGATATCGGTCTTTTAGTTGTAGTTTTAATGTGGCTGTGTGAGGCAGCACATTCAGGTGTTAACCTATGCCGCCATCTTGTTTGTCTCCATGCTCTGTGGGTTTTTTTTCTCTGTCTGGAATGCTGACAGCCAGGCAACCATGGCTGCATCTCTGTGCTGTGTACCTGATCAGATATCTGGGTTCAGCCACAGCTCATACTGCCCACTTCTGCAGCAATGCCCACCGAATTTCTTTGCTTCCCCCCCGCCCCACCCCAGCTGAAAGGAGTGTCAGCCACAACCCGATTTCTCCCCTTTCTGGGCTGAGCCCCAATGTGAGCTCCCAGCTACAAGGCTGTGTCTGTGGCTCGGCTCAGCATCTTTTCCTCCCTGGTTTGCTCTCACTTGCCTACCTTTAAATGTTCCAATATATGACCTCTCAGGTGCATTTGTGCATTGAACAGGGAATCTTTTGTTAAATTATAGCTGTTTGAATAGTTTAAACTTCAAAGGGTCATCTCTCATGTTGCCATTCTTCTGATGTCATTCAACATTTTTTTCTCTCTAGCTATTGCATTGTAAGAATACATATAACATATAGGGTGTCCCAAAATTCACGCACGATTTGCAATTCAATTCAATTGCAAATCTTGCGTGAATTTTGGGACACCCTATATAAAATATGTGGTAATAAACTATTTATATTGTTGATGCAGCTTCCAGTCAAATGTAGGCTAATAGTACTTAAGTTTTGGGGAAGTCAAAGTTACATGCAGATTTTCAACTGTGTGGGAGATTGGTGCTTTGTTCAAGGATAAACTGTAAACGTTTATACCCTAGAATATCTAGGGAACAATGTCCAAATTTCTGAGCACAGCATTCTAAATCCTTCACAGTCAGGCTCCCAGCTACTAGTATTACCTCATTTCCCTTTACTCCCTATAGCTCATGCTGAAGTTCTTATCATAATCCAAATGAACAACGCCCCAGAAAATGCCCAAGCCCCTGCATATTCTGCATAAAGTGAAATATGCTCATTCCATTGCACCTGAAAAATGTTACTCATAATTCAAGAGTCGGTTCAGTTGTCGTTAGTGAAATCTTTTTAGACTGCCTCAGACAGAGCTAGCCGCTGTGGGTTTTGTAGTTTTCATTTATGGCTATCATGGGGTAACTGGCAAGTTAGCTGTCAGCGTGTCTTTATTTCTTCTCCAAAATAACTGGTAAATAGAACCTGGTTGACTATGTGAGTGGTTGAATAAGCAAAATTTTAAATTATCAGAAAATCATTCTCTTACAGTATAGTAGGAAATAATGTGAAGTACATTTCATCACCGTTATCTTCTGGTTTTGATTCACCTGTATGGCACATTTGCACACCTAGACTTTGGTGCATTTATAACATTTTGTACTCTTTCATGCAATGCATTTCAGTGCAGCTTATTTGAAGTGTATTCTCTCTATATCTCTTGTTTCCAAAGGCAGTTCCTTAATGCTGGCAAGCATGTCCTTGTGGAATACCCTATGGCGCTGTCTTGGACAGCAGCTCAGGACCTGTGGGAGCTAGCTGAACAGAAAGGTGATGTATGTTCTATCTGTCTAGAGCACAGTCCCTGTTTCTGAGTTACCGTCACTAAGAATTCTGTGGTATCTTTATTCCTTTATAGTTTATCCCCATATCATATATATTACTGATACAAAAGGCTCCCAACACTCCCCACCTCACTACTGTAGGCACATTAAAGGGATATGTGGAGTGCCAACAGGGCAGAGGGATGGGTGGGAATTTACAAACTTTTTTTTGAGACTTGTCAGCTTTTTTTTTACTCTAATTAAAATATGGATTAGTTTCCACCTGTGGTAGTATCATGATATGATTTTAGTTTTATTCATGTGATATTTATATTGCTAATGGAAAAATGCCCAGATCAGAGTAATGAATTATTTTATATTCACATTTTGTAGTTGTTATTTTTTCTTAAGAGGAATACTATTTATAATATTATATGCTAGGCTTTTTGCTAATTACAAAAAATGAAATTGTCCCTTTGCAATGAAGAGCTCTGGTGTTACCATCCTAACCAAATGACGCTAATATGGATCATTCTGACACTGTGAGCCATCTGGTGTGATGTACATAGCATCCACATATAATTAATATTTAAATTAAATTTTCAGTTTGCAGGAAACATAGGGGTAAAAGTGACACCAAATAATAAAATCAAACAAACAAGAATGTGGAATACTCTGCAAGATAACAGGCTAAGTGTTTTCAAGAAGATAATGTCCTGCATGTAGTGAGTTTCTTCCAAAGAGCACAAGATGAAAAGGAGAAAAAAAGAGTAACTTTACATGGGAGAAAATAGACAGAAACTGCCTAAGCCAGGTGGTCATGATATAGTGATAAGTCATGTTAATAGCATGTACCTACGACCCGGGCCTCCCTCCCTCTGGCCAGCCACAGGCACCTGGGACAGCAGGTGGCTTCCTCCAGGCTAGGCCCTGGCTTTGTCAGGAAGAATGTCTGGAATGACTTCCGGAAGACATCCGGTCTAGCTGGTCTAATTAGCATATTATCCTTTTATTAGTATAGATTGCTATGAGAAATGTCTAAGATTATACTGCCTATGTTTTCTTCTAGCAGTTTGATGGTTTCAAGTCTAACATTTAAGTCTTTAATCCATTTTGAGTTTATTTTTGTGTATGGTGTAAGAAGTTTGTCTAGTTTAATTTTGTTGTACATATCTGTCCAATTTTCTCAAAGACATTTATACTTTGAATGCTAGTTTGGGGACTGTTACTAGTAAAAACAAGGAGAGCGCCAGCAAGAGTGCATTACTGCAGATAGCCATGGCGGAGTCAGGGCCGGGGGGGGGGGGGGGGGGGTTGGGGGGGAAGGGCAGCAAGTGATTACAGGTTCTTGAGAACAGGAACAAACCTCTTTAATTTGGAAATTATACATATAATCCCAGAGATGGTACATTCCAGGAAAATTTTGGTAATCCCTCCTCCCCAGAATTTTTTTGCCTGGCTGAGTGGTGAAAGTCTCTTTTACAAAACTAGTCTGTAAAGACTGGGAAATGTGCCTGTTTTGTCCAATATTCAAAACTCAACAAATAATCACAAGGAAAACAAAGAAAGAGGAAAATAGCCTAATGAAACATTTTCTGAAACTGACCCTCAGAAATGCAGACCTATGAATTATCTGAAAAAGAATTAAAAATAACTCTGTAAAAGATACACAGTCAGCTAAGAGAAACCACAAATAAACAAGAATCAGGAAAACCATACATGAGCAAAATTAAAATATATCAACAAAGAGATGTAAACTATAAGAAGTACCAAACAAATTCTGGAGCTGAAGAGCCAACAAGAAGGGTTTAACAACAACCTTGATCAACCAAATGAAGAAAAGACCAAACTTGGATGGATCATTTGAAATTTGATTCATAAGGACAAAGAGAAAAAACAATGAAGAACAGTGAAGAAATCTTAAGGAATTATGGGATACCATCAAGCAGATCAATATATGCCACAAAGGGAAAGGAGAGAAAAGGGCAGAGAGCTTATTTAAAGAAATAATGGTTGAAAACTTCCAAAAATGTGACAAATGAAATGATATACAATTTTCAGAAACTTAATGAACTCTAACTAGAATAAACCTCGAGACTCACACCAAGACACATAATCACAGCTTCAAAAGTCACAGATAAGGGCAGACTCTTGAAAAAAAAAGCAAGAGAAAAGTGACTCATTATATACAAGAAAGCTCCTTTAAGATTATCAGCAGAATTCTCAGCAAGAATGATGGTCAGATGTATTCAAAGTATTGAAAGAAAAAAAAAAATCTGCCAAACAAGAATACAATATTGAGCAGAACTGTCCTTCAGAAATGAAAGCAGAACTAAACTTTCCCAGACAAACAAAAGCTGAGTGAATTAATCACCACTAGACCTACTAGTACCCTAGAAGAATTGCTAAAGGAAGTTCCTTCAAATTAAAACAAAAGGATACTAGGCAGCAACAGGAAGGCATACAAACTTATAAAAAGAGCTCCCTGGTACAGGTAAATGTAAAGACAAATACAGAAACCTGTAAGGGAGAATGACTACAGCAGAATGGCAGCATGAGAAGTTCCCCTGGTCTTTCTTTTTGAAGTTACAATAATTTGAACAGTGATAATTGAACAGAGAATTCCCTGCTGAATACAAACACATCTGAGAGATTTGTGCATTGAAACATCTGAAAGTGGGTGAGTGGGAGCAAGTGGGGAACGAGGTGGGGAAAGGGGGAGGGTAGAAGAGCAGAGACGGGTACCACAGATGCAGCCCTTTGAGTCTTGAAAGGGGGGAGGAATCAGGTTGCCATCTGTATTTCCTGCAGCCCAGAGGAGCAAAGAGATACAGTGAACGTTCCTGCCAGAGTGGTTGGTACACAGTGCACTAAACCCAGTGATCAGTGCAGAAACGAAGCACAGAGATGCCGTTGTCTGGTGGCCCCTTAGTCAGGCAGAACAAGCCATGGAGCCTGGCCACCTCCCTTCACCCTTCCAGAGGTAGCAGGTAGGAGAAGCTACAGCTGTGAGCACTGGGCTATAAAACACATGACCTGCAAACCCTAGGACTGGAGTGACAGCAGGACTTTTTCCCCTGAATGGCAGGTACATGCGGCAGTTAATCCTAGAGTGGAGATACAGAGGTGAAGCAGCTGAGGTCTGGCAATTACTGTTACTGGGAGGACAAACCACACGTACAACAGCTGACCTCTGCCAGCTTACCACACCTCACCCTGGTGATTTCAGAGGCTCGTAACACGTTGTCCACCACATTCCCCCACAGCGGTGGTACCTTGAGACCGAGGTGACCCGGTTGCAGAAGAGACTAGGGGATACAGGACATTTTCAACCATTCTGCAGAGATCCCAGAAGCTGGAGCAGCACGAGAGAAACTAAAAAACTTGTCCTTCAGTGCCACCTTCTGGAAAACAAGACTTCTTATCAACCTACTCAAGAAGTGATACTTAAAAAAAAAAGCAGATCTCATTTCTGTAGATGCCTAGACAAGAAGGAATCTATGACATACCATGAACAACCAAGGCAATGAGGCAACTCAGAAAGGAAATGCAAATCTCTAGAAAATAAACTTAAAGACATAGAAATATGTGATTTAAATGACAGAGAAGTTAAGGTTGCAGTTCTGGAAAAACCCTCAATGAGATACAAGAAAACAAAGGGAGTTTAATAAACTCAGAAATAAAATCAACAAACAAAAGCAATACTTTACTGAAGACATTGAAATTTAAACAAAACAAAACAAATAGAAATTTGATAAATAGTGATGAACTAGCAGGCTCAGGAAATGATGCTGACCAGTTGGAGAAAAGAATTAGTGAAATTGAAGATAGAAATCCTTAAAGATTGAAGATAGTAATGATGCAGATAGAAGAGAGAGACTTGAGAGTATATGAAAGAACTCTATGAGAACTATTTGACTCAATCAGAGAGACATATTAACACAATAGGTATACCAGAAAGAGTACAGAAGGAGAAGGAAGCAGAGGTCCTATTCATACAGAGAGTTGATGAGAATTTTCCAAACCTATGGACAAAGCTAGATGCTTGAATCCAAGAAGCAAACAGAACACCTAATTATCTCAATCCAAAAAGGCCTTCTCCAAGGCACATTGCATTAAAACTGTCAAAAATTAATAACAAAGAAAGAATTCTCAAGGCAGCCAGGGAAAAGAAGAGAGTAAGCTCTAAAGGAATCTCATTAGGTTATCACCGGGTTTCTCAGCAGCAGCCTACAAGCTAGGAGAGAATGGAATCAAATACTCTAACTATTGAAAGAGAAAAATTATCAGTCAAGAATAATATATTCAGCAAAGTTATTCTTGAAATATAAAGGAGAAATAAAAACTTTTCCAGACACACAGCAGCCCAGGGAATTTACCACCTTAAGACCTCCATTATAGGAAATACTGAAGCAAAAGGTAAAATTATACAAAACTGCAAGCAAGATTACAAACAGTCAGACAGAAACAGGATATTGCAGCCCTTTTTCAAAACAGGGTATTATACATTTAAATATAACGAAAGCTAAAGAAGGTAAAAATATTAAAGAAGACAGAGGAAAAAAGACAGTATTGCAATTTGGAAATTAGCTCACAACATAAATAAGGAAAATTTCTGACAAGAAAAATATAAAAGGGGAAGGGTAAAGGTCTGAATTTGCAAACATCTCTGGAGAAAAGATGCATTCAGAATAAAAAGGACTATTGTATATATGAAACTTTCTTTTGCATAATAGAATTATATTGTTGCACTGCTTCAGTTGGTAGGGAGTAGAATTATAAAGATGGAGATCTCATCTTTAAATACAAAAATATATTCTGAGAATTGTGCTGACATATTTATCCAGGATACCATAGAAAACAGTCCCAGCATGATTGTTATATAGTTGACTAGTGCTTGGTTAAGTGTACTTTTTGTGCTTTATATATCACAAATGGAATGGAAAACCTTATTTTATGGATGCATGTAAAATGAATCTATTGGTGGCCCAGGGCAGCTCATGGCCT